GTTCGAATCAAACTGCAAGACGTAGAGACCAGTCAATAGGATGAGACAATATAAACCGAGCTCCTGTGTCGTAGATGTTAATTCATGCTACCCTATGTGAATGACCCAGACTTTTTTGGTAATAAAATCATACGCTGAAAGAATAAATCAAAAGAACTGGATTTCTAGTGTCTGAAACTGGAAATAATTTGAGGAATATAGCAATACAATTGCTACATCTCTCGTCGTATAGCATAACACGTTTAAGTCGGGAGAAAGCATCCCTGGTAACATACATGTAGCTCACCGTAACATATGAAATATGAAGATAACGAACAGTATTTAATCCCGAAAGTCCAATGAAATGATACAAATTTGGAGCAGAGCAAACAAGGACCTCAAAATTTAGAGAAGGGATCAGGTGCCATGGAGCAGGTGCCGACCGATCACACCCGCCTTATGCTCCATGTCATGATCGGAACCCCCCCCCCTCCCCCGGAAAAATCCGTAAATAGTTCAGTGTATAAATAATGGCGCCACAATTAGTATGAAAAAAAAACGTCAGTCAGCATTTGACTCAGTGATAGCTTGTATGTGCTGACAAGGTCATTGTATCGACCTTTAAACTTGCGCAAATGTTATATTTAAATAAAACAAAGTTCCACATTTGATTGTATGTTGTTTTACGTCCCAATCGAGAATTTTTCACACATAAAGAGACGTCACATTATACTGGTGAAGGGATTCAGATTGAGAAGTTTACTTGGCACTAAAAGCCATTAAGCAGTGAGGGATATTTATCGCACCAACGTTTACCATGACAAGGGGCCTTGGTTTTTAAGGTTGTAATAAATACCTGCCACTCGATTGCACTAAAGTATATGTCAGATTCAGCAGTAGTTCATTCTGACGTCATCATAATAATAACGTCACAGTTACTTTGTGGTATGTTGTGTTTTACAGTTTTAGATTTGATAAGTCAGTTGTAGTGTTAAAATATGCTCTTATGTGTCTAGACTCTAGAGTATCTAACCACTTTACAATCACAAGAAAGGTCTCATTCGAAAGACCTGCAACGTTCATTTCAAAGTGCCCAGCACTTGGCGAAAGAACAGTTGCTACCATTTTTATAGACTTAGGTCTGTCTCGCCAGGTGCTTGAACTCACGACCTTCCGATCACTGAGCGAGCATTCTACCAAAAAGATACTATGACGGTCAGCACTTCACAATACTTAGGTAGAATGCATCCCTAGATGCAACATATGTACCAGTTTGGTCTGGGTAGGATATTTAGTTACTTATAAAGGATGTTACTAGAAAAATTCCGTTCTATCACTAGGAAAATGTACGTACAGTGTAAGATTTTACGCCTGGACCAAGTGCATTATCTAGATGCATCATCCGTACAAGTGTTTGAGACATGGCTTATAGTAACCTGAAAATAACCTCTTCAAAAAATTTAACCTCGTCACACATACTTGAAATGTTGGTCAGATCCAAGATCCGAAGTAAGCCTTGTAGTTTTCATTTCTAGATGTACATGTATCAGCATTCATGCAAGTTTGCCGAGTTGGAATTTTAGTTTCTAGGGAATGGAGAACAGAGAACATTTGAACATATGAACCTTACTAATTAATGATAATTTATAATGTAACTTTCCAATATTCATAAAGTGATTTTGTTGAAACCTTGCTCCTCATAACTGGGGAGGGGCCATGTTAAAATATAAAAGTATTAAGGAAGCAATAAGATAATCTGACTTTACTAAATAAGTGATACAATAAGACGTCATAGTAGGCGAGATGACGTTAATTTTAGAACACAAGTTTTCTTAAAATTGTTATTAAGAGATATGATTAAACTCCTGGAAATGAATAGAAACTTGCAAATATTAACAAAAATAAAATGTTTTTATTTTGTATGCTGTATCTGTCACTTGAATAAAAATCATCGACGGATAACGTCATAACTGTTCAACAAGTAACTTGAGAATTGATCATGTTGTGTAACGAGAATTTGGCTAAGACGGCACTTAAAAAGATACGTAAAAGGGGGTTCAGAAGCAAATGCCGTGAATATTGTATGTGACTCATGTGAAGTTAAAGTTTGTTAAACAGGTATGCTAATTTATTTTCAACGATTATATCTTCTATTGAAGACAGTCAGCTATTTAGAATTATCTCGGGTTATATGTATATAATGCAAAACATCAGGTAAGGTTTCGTGCGAATATGTGGAATAATTTTTTTCCCGACCGGACAGTGGGATTCTAGTATCACTTTTTAGGCATAAGAGATGTTTTTCAACTATATTATTAACTTAAAGAAATTATTAAGGCCTGGGATATTGTTGTTCTGTTAACTTTTTTTTATTAAGGAATATGTTGCTATTAACAGCAGTCACGTGATGACATCGTGGTGGTGCACTTCTTGGCCTCAGACTCTCTGTTGACTTTATGCAATAGTTAATAATAGTTTGCGTTTTATAGGCGACTTTGATAAATTATCAAACTTAATTTTCTTAAAAAAGGATAAATTTCCTGTGAAATGGTTTAAAGTGCAGTTTTATTATATTTTTACGCAGGAAGAGCAAAAATTGAGGCTATTTAGGAGAAAATACCAAGAATCCAGCCGCCTCAACTCAGCCTGCCATGACATAACAGTAAATTATCGTCAAAGCAAAGAAAGGTCGCAAAGGGAAGTAACCAGGAATGTATAGACAATATGCAAATGGAAATTACCAGAGAATGTATAGCAAAGAGTGTTTAAGCAGATGTTGTGAGAGAATTTGTAGCAAGACAATTATGTTGCGTAAACTGAACGTTTAGATGGAAAAATCTTGTGTTTGGCTATGTACGGTATGTCGAATGCTGTAGAAGCACAAATTTTTGTGGGGATAAAGTTTCGTTGATTTCTTATCTATAGAATTTCGTAGACATTAAATTTCGTTGTTTCGAAAGTAATCCTATTCAACAAAGAGGCATATAAAAATTTCGTGTGGGATTTAATTTCGTTGTTAATTGTGAACAAGGAAATAAACGAAATTAAATCCCCAACGAATATTTTCTACTTTTACACTTATGCTCTATAGAATAATAGCTGTCCACTTATACTTATTTAGCACACGAAGGTTTGTATTCAATGATAAATATCATCAATTCAACTATTTCATGTGAATGGCTAACTATTTAAATAAAATAGTTTTACACACCCCCTTTTCCCTGTTTTTCAATTTTTCTGATACATACAGATCAAATGTATTTACAGTTAATATTCCAGAAGACAATGTCTATGTTCAGCATCCATGCATACAAGATTGAATATTGCTGAAGTCAAATAAAGAGATAGTGGTAACTTTCAGAGGCAAATGTAGGTTTCTTTAATTCAGACCTAAGAAAAAAATTCTCTGTGATCTCTCTTTTTTTAATTAGCATGACATGGTAAATAAACAGTTTTATCTATGCCTCGTCAATCATTAAAAAGCAAACCATTTACATAGATTATCAACGTGCATTTTTTGTAACTTAGTAAAGTTTGAGTTGCTCCGTGATCACATGTTCGTAGTTTTAAATTTTAGATATCATTAAAATATATTGTAATATATTTGAAAATTTTAATTCAAACTATTAAGATTCATGATATGTCCACCAGGTTTGGATAATATGACGCTAAGTAAAGGAGTTAAAACAAGTCCTCAAACTTTTGGAACAACCCCATACATGTATAGGATTTCTTACTTACTGTTAACAAAATTCCTACATCGGGTTGATTACCGGTAATCTAATAAACGGCAGGGGCAAGCTGAATCATTTTGATTTGATTAAAGGGAACCAAATGCTTAAAGTATACAAAACACTTTACTCTGGTCTTGGATAATATGACGCTAAGTAAATGAGTTAAAACAAGTCCTCAAACTTTCCAACAACCCTATACATGTTTAAGATTTCTTACTAACTGTTAACAAAATTCCTACATCGGGTTGATTACCGGTAATCTAATAAACGGCGAGGCAAAGCTGAATCATTTTGATTTGATTAAAGAGAACCAAATGCTTAAAGTTCACAAACACTTTACTCTGGTCTTTACGTCTGTATAATGCAACTTTTTGGGGTTGGGTGGGGGTTGGGTGATTGTGGATGGGATAACAATGGGATTGTACATGTCTTCTCAGTTGGCAAACTTGTCAACATGCGAGATAAAACATTGCTGATGCTAAAACAAAGATTCAATCGAAGTAGAAAGAAGATTATCAACTGAAAAAGTATATCCCTGAACAGGGGGTCATTTTTCCTAAAACGAAAAAGGTCCTGCGAAAAGTCTCACTCAATTAAAGCGGCAAGTTTTAATTTTGCACTAAAGAACAATCTTCCAAAGGTTGTTTACTGTATGTTTTGTGTTGAAGAAAAATATAACAAGATAACACAAGAATGATAACGTTTTATTTCATGTAAGAATGGATACCGCAAATAATATTTAATTAAGTAATGAGATACATGTAATACAAAAGATAATTAAAAAATATTAGTTATTAAAATACATTAACAAAGTGATGATTATACATGTATACAATTAACATAAATGGAGACCGCAACTAAGATATTATAGGCCCACTTGGCTCCCGTTCTGATGTCAAAGTCGTTTATTCCTCTGCTGGACGTGTGAGATGGAAACTTATGGTCGTGTTTCGTAAGTAACCTTCTAGAGGTTTCTCTCGTTCCCATATTAATGCTCATACAACATAAATACTGACCACATTCTATGTCTATTTCAACATCAAATTTTAATGTAAACTACAAGATGGATATTCAAAATGACTTACAAACATACCGTTGTGTTCTGTTAATCCTATACATTTTCACTTAATAAAACATAATTGTCAAATTACAAATTCAAATAAACAATGTATGTCTTATTATAAGTGTATATACGAAAATAATAGCTTGTTGTTCCTTTAACATAATCACAACTGAGATATACATGTTAATTGTGATTTTTTACTTAACTCAGAAAGACATTTATTACTTAAGCAAACAAAGGAACTCAAGGTTATACTGAAAAAGTAATCATAATTTTTCACTTCGTAATATAACTTTGAAACGTGATTGCAAATGAACAATAAATTTACATTGAACAAAAATTGTGTTAATCTCAGATTTCAACATTAATTGAACATTGAAAAAAGATTAAAATTCTGATGTATTTTTCTTTTTAAAAAAAGATGATGATTCGGATGTAAAGTTTATTTTTTAAATAAACAATCATACCAGACAGATAGAACAGTGCCATTCTCTGACAAAGGAGTGCACGTCTCCTCATAAGAAATGACCTATTCATCTAAATAATTTGAAATATAAACAATAACTGATAAGGTTTTTGAGGCAATTGGGGTTTGGGTAGCTGGTTTCATAACCAGATAAATGGTTTAAATCTTATATACCTAGCAGTTTTCATTCAGCTGCAGACGCCCATTGGAATAAAATGTCATCTGAGTGTTTCAAAGCATATATACATGTATATAGATACATATTTTTATATTTTATGAGTCATAAGATGTGTTATTTTTGGTAAAGCATAAGAGAAATGAATTTACTACTTTGGTTGAGTAGGTGCGGATAAAAGAGAATACGTTCACACAACTGATTATTTTAAGCCTCGTTTTGAAATTCTTTTTTTTACAACAAAGCATAAGGAATTTATTCTCATTCTGCATAATTTTAATTGCGTTTGAGGTCTGCAAATTGTATTTCAGAATATAGATGAAAATGTTATTATTTAAGCATTAATTTTATACACATGATTAAAATTCACTTTTCCTCTCTTCACTCTAGAAAAGATATGCATCTTGCAAAAAAAGTGAAATAACCGTATCCTATTTTGATTTATTTTTTTCCATTTGTTAGGTCATGTCCCTTCGTATGATCAAAATTGTATACCTGGTTTCGTTGAGACTAGCTCTGTAGTAAAAGTGGGGAATTGGAAAATGTGAGAACTTTATAAACGACGATTTCGTGTTGGGGAATTTAGAAACTGCAATGCACAGGCCGAAGAGGTACCATGATATGAAATTGTCATGGGAAAAGCTTAAGCCGGGAGATAAGGAAGGAAGTCTCAAATGGCTTGGATGAACGAAATTATAATGTTTAGATGTTGTTAAGTATAAAACATTCATATTGTTTTAGTAACATATTTGTGTACAAGATTATCAATAGAGGATTTCTTTTTAGTTTTCCTCTCTTTGTCTTGTTATATAGTGTTCGCAAAAGTCAAATATGGAATTTCTTCTAAGTTTTGTTATATAGCCTTCGCAAAGTCAAATATGGAATTTCTTCTAAGTGTCCGACTCTGAAATGTAAGTGATTTTTATCAGTATTATCAACATTATCAGAAATGAACGAACAGTTTCAATTGAAGATATACACATGTATATCACAAGAATATATTCTATATTTTTTTTTATTTTATCGCACATAAAATTTACCGGGGCTTAACGTTCTTGGCCAGGCGCTATGAAACTAAATCCAATTAATGTACGTAAGAGAAAATCTAGCCATTTTTTTTACTATCATCTTTTCTGGTTAAAAAAATTGAACTACATAAGACATCAGTTTTGTCTTTAAATAAATTGTCAGTTTTTCGTAAGCAATGGAATACCCAAGCGGCACAACCTCAAAATACGACGTCGTTCTACCTTGAGTCTAGAAAAATCCCTAGTTACAAGCACTTGTTATCAACTTTTCATATCAATTCTCTCATGTGATGTGGCAGAATTATTCTTGTAATTTTATCTTCGTCAGTTCTATTAAATATTTTATAAATATGAAAGTTAAAGCTTGATACGTTGAATTCTTTGCCGATTTATCATCAATAACAAAAGACAAGCTATGGTTTCCTGGCGTAGTCGCCGTTGAAATGTAAATTCTGTAGTAAGTGATAAAAAGACCAAGAGGGCTTGAAATGACGCCGGAGCTTGACAATTGACAATTGAGAGAGAGAGAGAGAGAGAGATGAAACGGATTAAATTTCGGTATGTGGTCCATGTGTCCTTTAATTAGTAAGTCAAGTCGAAAAGCAACGTTATTCGTGTGCGGTAGAAATTTAATTTCAACATGAATTCTAAGCTGGCTGAGCTGACACAGCTAGATGAAAATCTTTTTCTTTAGTAAACTAGTATTATATTGTTTTGAAATCAGCTTTTCATAAAATTAAGTCATATAAGCAAGACAAGAATCAAACATTATTTAACTCATACTAGGGTATCTCGTCAAAGAAAGTTTATTAAGACAGACTGAGCAGACATTAAAGATTAGAGAAGGCAATAAATTTCAACGGCGACTACGCCAGGAAACCATAGCTTGTCTTTTGTTATTGATGATAAATCGGCAAAGAATTCAACGTATCAAGCTTTAACTTTCATATTTATAAAATATCTATATTTTGTTGTTTAGTGTTCCTTGTAAATTTTGTAAGCACAGAATACGTAGTATTTATTTTATCGCATCAGTCCACGAACTCTTTGATAACGTTATGTACTTTTAAGAAAAGCTAAATGTTTAACATATAAATTTCTTCCACTCCTTACTGTTAAAATCATAAATAGTGTCAAATTCTGAGACTCCTGCGTATTTGAAGTCTTGATTTGTTTTAATCACATAATAAGGACAATCAATGAAGAAAACTTACCATTCTCGACATCAGAATCAGAATCATATTCGTAACTCAGAGATTGTTTGATTTTTATGGCAGGATGTCTCTGACGTCTTGATAACGAAGTGCCCAAATTATCTTCAATGTTTGATTTTTGAATCGCTACATGTATAAAAAAAAAATAAGAATGTCAATCCTGTGAATGAATTGGACGCAGTTAACATTATTGTTAGTTTCGTCGTTCAAAAAGTTTAAAAAAACCTATCTAAATGTCTAACAAATGCACACTAATTTCATCGAATCAGATAAGGTAACTAGATGTGTCGTGACGCCACGAATGCCCCCGCAGGCAGCCAAATTTTTAAATGCAATATTTAGTTTGAAATTTGTTTGCACAAAAGACTTTTTTTTCTAAGTTCAAAAATGCATAACATAAAAGAAATACAATGTTATCCTTATTAAAGTGGCTCTATACATTGATGCTTTCACTTTTAAGACAAGTTCAATGGGGTACATGTAACTCTGTCAAAAATCATTGGACCACGACCAAATTCAAACTTGAGCTGTATTTTCTGGTAAAATAAATATGCATGCAATTTAAACCTTGTATGTACATCCCTACAACAGTAAAAGAGGGGAAAATGAGATTTTCTTATTTTTTCTAAGTTCAAAATAGATAACTCTGTCAAAAATTATCGGACCATGACCAAATTCGAACTTGACCTACATATTCCTATTATCCATACTACGAAATTGAGTTGACTGTGTGCAACTGTTCGGTGTTGCCGAGATAATGAACAGAGAGTCAATGATGACGGAATGACAGAACGGAACATGGTAATACTATATGCCCTAGCCATTTTATGGCGGGGCATAAAAAATATAATAATCCAATCTCCGTAGGTAATTTTAGCCACAAATTTTATATTTGACAAATATTTTGCTTTAGAAGAGATCTGCTAGAAAAAATACTCAAGAAAGATCTTCATCAAATTTCGTTCCGTGATCGGGAGGTCGTGAGTTCGAATCTCGGCCGCGACAGACCTAAGTCGATAAAAAATAGGTAGCAACTGTTCCTTCGCCATGCGCTCGGCACTTTGAAGTGAAAGTTGCGGGTCCTTCGGATTAGACCTTAAAAACCGAGGCCCCGTGCCACGGCAGGCGTTGGCACGATAAAGATCCTTCACTGCTCAATGGCCCTGAGTCCCGAGTAAAGGTCAAAATTTGAAGCCCTTCACCGGTATATGGTGACGTCTCTATATGAGTGAAAAATTCTCGAATGGGACGTAAAACAATATACAATCAATCAATCAATCTTCATCAAATTTGTGTAGAGAGAAAAATATATGCATTTTCAAATTCCTGTCAAACGTAATGACGACTACTAACTGAAGAAAGAACGATGAATCCTATGAATGCTATATCCAGAGCATGGTAGCTAGTTATGGAGCATTTTTTTGCATATTTATATCATTTATATTTTACAACCTTTCCTTTCCCTAGGGATAATATTATGACTTTTGAAAATAATAATCATAGTTGCATCATATGTTTATAGACAGAAAATATACATACTAGGGCTTTTAAAAAATAGGCAAAAAGGTAAAAATCATTTCACTTTCAACAAACATATACAAAATTAACCTAAGTTATAGTTTTACAGATTGGCTTAAGAAGATGTGTTTAGCGTCAGAAGAATCGTACAAAGGTTATACATTTATAAAACTCTTCTACTTTATGAAATAAAAAATCAAAACTATTAAATTTGACAAAAAGTGCGTCTTAAACTTACATTCAGGTCTTAATTTCATCTGTATCTGCTGCAAACAAAAAAGATTTTTATTTCAAATATATTTTTGTGCTTGGGTGCATTCTCCTCAAACAACAACTGTCCCTGTTTGACAAATATCAACATCTTGTCAAATTCGCATGATTCTTTCTCTATGTAAAGTTGCATGCAGAGAGAGAGAGAGAGAGAGAGAGAGAGAGAGAGAGAGAGAGAGAGAGAGTTTCAGTGTAGATAGTTAAGTAATAACAACACATGGGTTTCAAGTCTTTCTTGTAGTATTTTTCAGCGGTAGTAAAAATAGGCTAAAATACTATATACTGATACTTTGCACGTATTTCGATATAGACAAGTGTGAATCAAAATACAGAAGACATTCATACCTCTATTTATAATGGATTAAAATTGGGACTTATACTGTCCACAGAAATATTTTACAGAATGAAAAGAATTTAAATTATGTTTCTGCATTAAAGCATGGTAGTCATGTAATACACCTATAAGTAGAAAGAAATGAGTTTTCTTATATGGTCTTTCTGGTGTTGGTTACGAACATAATCGGATAATGCTTATTTCTTTACGTATGCTATGTATACCTTATATACATGAACTAGGAGAGTAGGAATGAAATTCTTCCTTTTTTCATACGTTGTCTTTATATTTAAGTCATAATGATTCTCTGCAATGTTCAAAATCAGGACTCAATATTATTCATAACGTCTTAAAATACATGTTTGCTAACATTTGCGCTCAAAATTTGTAGAGAATAATATGCTAACCGAAAAGTAAAATTCTATTCCAAAAATTAATAGAAGATAAAACATCTGTTCAGGAAACAAGCTTAACATTAAAGTTTGCCTTAGGTGTGATCACTAACATTTGTTTAAATAAATGTTATTTTATACATTTAAAGTATGTCATTGAGGGAGTTAGCAAGATTCCAGTTCCCCAAGGGCAGGACTATCCCCGAGGCGAAGAAAATAAGAAGGAAATAAAAATCTCTTTTCATTAAAAAGCCGAAGATTTCCCATACCAACTTCTATTTTGACAATATACTTTCTAGCGGATAGTAGCAGTCCATGTTCTATTTTAATAAATGAGCAATTAATACTTTCATTAAAAGAAATCTAATCCGATTTAAAAGTTTCTCAAAACAATGGAAAATACCTTTTGAATATTTTCATTTATTCTCTTTTGTATTTTCTTCTGATGCCTTATCAACTTTCTACTCATTTCCTGTGATGGTACACAAAATAAAGCATTAGTTAAATTAAAAAATAATTAAGAGCACAAATTTAATTTTCTGATATAAATGAATTCTTATGTTTCAATGAGATACTTCAGTGGAATATTGAAAATTATATATATATATATATATATATATATATATATATATATATATATAAACAACTTTTGTTTGACTCTACCGTGATCTTATTTTCTTCACTTATATCCATTTCACTGGAAAAAAAAATTAACTTAAGTCAAAAAAAATTACGAAGTCTAAAATGAAAATATTTTTTTATTTCTTTGCAAAACATGTAAATGCTTACCCCTTTGTGCTCAGAGCTGCCTGTCCCTCAGTTTTTCTAGTTTTTCTTAGTTTCAAATCGTAATTGCTGTCATATATGAAAACTGTTAAAAAAAATTGTAATTGAATATGAGCACAAAAATACCTAGCCCGATTAAAGCTGAAGGAGACAAATCACTGCACTTATACTGACCTCGTACAAACATGGGGACTTTGTTCAATTTTTTAATATCATCATCAGGACTGTATGGTGCATGACGAAGCTTAGAGATGTCATCCTTATCATCACCAACATCATTATCATCATCATCAGAGCTGCAGCATTTAACAGTCCCATATCGGGGAATGGACACCACTGCCCACGCACACGCATGAATGAAAAAGAATGGAATAGCAAGAAGCTGCATGTGTACAGGAAAAATACTTCTGATGCTGAAATCCTCCAAGAAATCGGTTTGAAGTTGTGACCAGTAAAATTTTGATTTCTCGTGTACCTTAGAAAATGAGTGACTGGGAAAGAAAAAAATATGTTTCCATTAATTTTTGTTTTATTTTTTGTGATGAATATTTCAATTAGAGAATTATTCTTTCATATAATCAAGCTTTAGTATATACTTTGCTTATACAATAAACATGTATTTAAAAAATCAAAACAAACACATTCATCAATTAATTTTTATCCCTCATTAATGACCCCCCCCCCCAACAAAAACGCAACCTTCTAATATGACGAATATCTTACTAAAAACCTTGCGTTTTGAAACGAGTTATGCACATTCAATATATTGATATACCGAAAAACTGTTTTCATGTAAAAAGTGCATGTATTTCTGACAATTAAACATGCTTTAGTAAATAAAAAATGGCATTGCATAATCATTTTTTTTTGCCTTAATAAACCTCTTAAACTTATCTTACATCCAATGTCTGCAGTTTAATTAAAACAAAGAATGCTAGGATACTGTTATACATGTTTCTCTTCTGATCCTTAGGAATTCTGAGAAAACCTTTTTTACCCAATTAGCACTACATGTATATGGAATAACCAACAATAAAAAGGCAACTAAAAACCATACCTGTACATGGCAATCAGCAAATTTAAAAGCAATATGACTGCGATGAGCACATAAACAGCTTTCAGATAGGGGGCCACAGCCTTCCCAAGAGATGATGGACAACGTTCTTTTGACCCTTCTCTATATTCAGTTTGGTTAAAGGAACAGTCAGGTTCTGTCACTGTAATTGTTAAGAATATTCTACGATGTTTTAAGAATTTTTTTTTCTCTCTGTGACTACATTTTCTTTTCTTTTAAGAATCGAGTTTGATCAATCACTGTGGACATATTTTGCCAATTAAACTACATATATACTGTACAGCATTGATTCTGCTTGATTCCGTTAGAATTCGGTTGAGCCTAGCCTAAACCGGATAAAACCGGCTACACACTGAAGCTCTTGTCACACTGTTCCGATTTGGCTTCGCGATCACTCACGATCTATTCCAACATACCTTCATACATACATTGGAAAACGTAGAAATGATGCCTTAAGAAGCTGATGATTTGTGTGTATACCCGAGTGATCGGCAAAAGCCAGGAAAATCTGGCAATTTTCGTGACTGTTTTGATGCAGCTCAAAAGAAACTCAAAAGAGTGGTCGTTACATTGTTAAGGTTCCTGACCTTGATTTGTTGTAACATCTTTGTGATAAACTTTGATGAAACCCCATGCACGAGGGGGCAAAGTGTTGCTACATAAAGAAGTTTTTAACAGTACAATTCCTGAAACCTCTTGAGGATATTTGATCCTTAGGTTTTGAGGAGATTTTTTGACATAATCTATTCTTTGAAGAATGTTTTAGTACCGTATTAATCTGTATGGAAGTCGATGTGAAACGGTTTGATACGTGATGTTCATAAACACGATTCCGCCAAACCTTAACCGTATCAAAAATGATTGTAGCGTCACCGTAAGAATAATTTGCCATGCCCAGTTTTTACCGCGAAGTTACCCAACTTCCAAGACGGAACATAGTCATGAATGATCGTGGTTTAAATCGTGAACGTGTGATTTTGGCTTTACCTGGGTTTTCCAGATTCGTGAGAATCAAGTATGTTATCAGAAATGTTATAAAAAGCAAACTAATAAAAAAAAAGCCAAATATTGTGCTCATACCATGTTTAATAAATTAAAACTCATTGATTATGTGCAACCCCTATTTAAATGTCTTACGTTTTGCATCATCCAAATTCAATTCGCCGAATAACATCCAATATCCATTCCTAGTAATTTTCTCAAATTGTTCAAAAGTAAAATCAGAGTTTTCAGAATATAGTAGCGCATGATACGATGTGTTGTAGCACATTGTGATGATAAACATGATAGTCATCAGTGCAAAGGTATCTAAAAACTATAAACAAAAGAAATAATTCTGACTTGCATTTCTCTCAATTAAAAATATGTAATCCTTTTAGTTGTGAAGCTACCCTCTTCTCAATAATGAAATATTTTCTGGCAATAACAATAAACGATCTATCAGTCTATTCTAAATATGATATTTCCATGAATATGACAATAGGTTTTATATAAAACCATCGCTGAAACCATAAATGACTTTTAGCTGCACGTTACTTGTTGATTAAAAAATAAAAATACTTAATATTAGAAATACGAATCAATAACAATATACTCAATAAATCTGTTCAACATATAAAGATATTAAACACATAGTAATGAAGTATTATTGACATATTTAACTACATTTGATTACGAATAGAATTTCTAAAATAAAGTATTTTCCATTCATTGTATATAACATACGTGAATTGCTTTTTTATAAAGATTTAATGTGTTTTTTTTTCTTAACCAACAATTCCTAAGAAAGTTTCTTATCATTCAAGATTTACCATTTTACGGATGATAACCAGTTTTGGTCCAAGCAACTTTGACATGGAAAACATGTGAAGTATTCGAATGCTCACTGTGATGAAACCTATCACAAGCAAAACCTTCGATGCGTTTAAATAGCAAGTTCCTTCTCCCAGTTTTGTGAGCATACCACTTGTATACGTTATCATAGAAATCCAGTCAAGATAATTCCAAAAGTCAGTAAAGTACTGGCGTGTCCTTCGCCTTTTTACTGCAACGAAAATCTTCAAAGAAAAACTGTAAATTATAGTATCACTGTAATATTTTATATGCAATTATATCTAATAATTAAAGGTCTGAAAAAAATTAAAAATACGACATACAATTCATGCGTCAATTCAAAATAAAGTAAACTGTGTTCTGAAACATCAATCAATTAGCAAAGTATTTAAAGGAGTTTTTAGGTGAACAGGAATTAATAATGTGGTAAAGTTTAAAAGATGGAAATAAAGAAGTGATCACTTTAATAAATCCGAAAAACTTAACGAATCGAGAAGAGGGTAAAATCTCGGATGGACCACTCGAAATATCAGCGATGAGATCATGTGCCTAAGGGGAGTAAACATCCCCTGTCAACCGATCACATCCGCCTTGAGTTATTTGCATTGATCACGTTAACGAGGCAATCCGTATTTAAATATTATATAATAGCCATGAGTTAAAAAATGTTTGAATCATGTCAGAAAAATGGCCCAATGATAGGTTGTATTTACAAACAAGGTCATGATATCGACCGTAGAATTTGGAAAAAAGCTGACTTTAAACGGGTTTTTGAAAACCTTGTAACAAAAACTTATTTGTCAGCAGCTTGCCTCAGTTGAAAAATTGATCTCATTCAGAGCAAGCTCTTGTGTATGGAATCACTGCAGAGACATAAACATCGTACGCAGTTGATGTTGGAATACTGCTAAATAAAAATGTTAAGTCGACGACAGAAAAGCTGAAGACATCCCGTTTGCCAAAAGGTATAGTTATAAGATGGTAATTATCAGCTATATTCAGTAAAACATTAAAATATGGAACAGATTTAGCAGACTCCGTAGTATCTGTTTCGCATTCATTAAAATATATCTAGTCGATATGTGAATGAAAGTATTTGTTGTTAATTGATAAAACGTCATCAGTATTTAAATGTTGATTTAAAGGCCTAAGGAAGAGTTTCAATCTTCGCATGAAGCAGTTTGTGAATAATTCTGCTTGATAGGCGTATAAAAACAGATCGGCTAATAAAGAAGCACGATCAACGCCCATCAAAAGTTCAGCAGATTGTTAGAACATCTGGTCTCCAAAGACTATATACGTAAATATTGTCAATAAGGAACTCCTTCGTCTATAAAATTTCAACTTTTGGGAAAAGAAAATTGTCTAACAATTTTCAAAATTCATATTAAAAATAATGTTTTGGTTTTTGCTTCCCATTTGTGTGATCAGATGACAATATAAACGTAATTTAATCATAAATGCATTGAATACTGCAATTAAAAATTAATTTTTAGCAATTGTTTTCAATAATTTTTTAACCTAATAATTTTTTTGAATTAAAATTACATTAACGATATAAATGTATATAATTATTATGTAAAAATTAAGGAATAGAAATGACTTGAAAGAAATACTTTACTGAGAGAAAACAAAGCTATTGCAGATTGTTTAGATCATTTCAGTAGATATTTTAAGTATCCGATGCCCGTCAGAGCCGCATAGACGCGAAATAATTTGAGATACGAAAAATATACACTGTATTAAAAATATAAAATAAAATGTTCAATTACTATTTTCAAAATAAAGTTCTTGCTTTCCGACGTGATTTAAAAAAAAAAGAAGAAAATCCTGTTCTGGTTTCTGTATTTTACAAGAATATATAAAACATAATGTAATATATCAAATAATGAATTATATTAGAAGAATGTAATATATAAAAAAAAATGCAAAATACTAAATAATGTAGTATATATATTGTAATATAAAAAAAATAATGTAATATAAAATAATGCCACACCCTACCATCGGGGGTCATGATTTGAACAAACTTGAATCTACACCACCTGAGGATGCTTCCATATAAATATGACCAATTATAGCTTTGCTGCTCTTGAGAAGACGATTTTTAAAGACTTTACCTATAAACTCCTATGTAAAAATTTGATCTTCCATTGTGGCCCCACCCTAACCTCGGGGGGTCATGATTTGAACAAAAATGAATCTACACCACCTGAGGATGCTTCCATATAAATATGACCTATTATAGCTTTGCTACTCTTGAGAAGACGATTTTTAAAGACTTTTTCTATAAACTCCTATATAAAACTTTGATCGTCCATTGTGCCCCCCCCCCCTACCCCTGAGGATCATGATTTGAACAAATTAGAATCTACACTACCTGACAATGATTTCACATGAGTTTCATCTTTCCTGGCACATTGGTTCTTGAGAAGAAGAGTTTTAAAAGATGCCATTAATTTTTCACTATTTTTTTTAATTATCTCCCCTTGGAAAATGGCGTGGCCTTTCATTTGAATAAACTTGAATTCCCTTCACCTAAGGATACTCTGTGCCAAGTTTGGTTGAAATTGGCGCAGTGTTTCTTGAGAAGAAGAGTAAATTGTAAAAAGTTTACAACGACAACGACGACATCGACGACAGACAACGGACAAATTTCGATCAGAAAAGTTCACTTGCGCCTTCGGCTCAGGTAAGCTAATAATGTAATGTGCAAATTTATACTCCAGTCCCTGATATACATAACGCCTGAAATCAAACCAATAGTATACCAGAACTGACAAATAGTTTCAGAAATACCTGTTTTATTTCGTCAATGAAAAAACTAATCATCCAAGCGATGAGAAAAGTGTCCGTGTTAGATACTTCTTTCCCAAAGTCAAACAGGAGCATATAGCCATATCCTGTCAGGAGAGCAAAGAGACTCAGCTGTAAAATAGAATAGGATTCCTGTTAGGAAAGCAAAGAGACTCGGCCCAAAAAAAATAATAATAGAATTTTGCATGTATCACTGATTTTCAAAAGATGATTCCTATTAATGGCAATAATTTGAAGAAAAAAAATCTTTGGATTACACATTTAAAGGAATTTCATTTTACCATACATAGAACATCTGTGAGATTTGTTTTGTATGTAAACATATAAAATTTCAAAATGTTAATATATGCTTATACAGCAAGCTTTTTTGAAATTTAGATATATCTACTATATTCAGTGATATATTCCGTAAAGAAAAGCAAATCGAACAGTCCAACATTTTCAAGAGTAACCCCCCCCCCCCCCTTACCCAAGTACAGAACATAAAACGTTGATGGTGATTTTTTTTTTTTTTTTTTTTTTTTTTTTTTTACAAAATTATCTGTTTTTAATATTTTGGTTGAAAGTTGAACAGAAGCAAAGATGTATTTAAAAAAATAATCATGTAATTAACTTAATGAAAATAAAACAAAGCAACATATTTAAGACAAAACAGTGAGGCGGGACCTAATTTTGAACTGGAAATATTTAAGACGGCATCACAATAAAATAATTATTCTTCAAATTTCCCATGAATGAAATGCTTTGCGATTTTATATTTTCGGAAAGCTTTAAATTACATCAAAACTTACTGTTGCTGGCATTTTTACTGTTAATTAAATCCCACACAGCAAGGTATGAATGGTTTACTGATCGCTTTGCACTTGTCAATATGACGTCAGATCGTACAAAAATGATCTAGTTGTATGCAGTGGCAGATGGATTAGTAATATTAAATACAATTAAAAATGTATTTTGTAGTAAAAATATTTTTGCAGATATGTAGAAGTCATTCACTTGAATACGATGTATGTTTTATTTATAATTTATAAATTAAACTTAGATTTTTAACTTGATTTTGCCCTATTGGAATTGATAAATGAAATCAATATTGCATGTAAATCACGTGATTGCTACATTACGCGACAAGTCTTAAGAAAAATTCCAAACGTCCTCAACATGTTCATTTAGCCACATTACTTTTGTCGGATATTAGATAAGTATAAAATGAATCGTCAATCCTTGTATAAACATTTTTAAAATTTGCCCATATTACCACTGTGTACCTTAATTGAACTACAGAATAATTTTTCATGGATGGTGTAAAGCAATAATATAGCAATCGATATTAAATAATGTAAATCCTTCAACTACCATTTGCATTTTTTTTAATAAAGGTAACCTAACAAATAAAAAAATACATGTATATACATGTATGTACAATGCCAGATATAGCCTCGTGCACTCCAGCATTTTTAAATTCTTGGATAAGGATGACCCATGGCATTCACAAACAGTGGTCCCCCCAAAAACATTGATGATTCCAAAGAATATAAGCAATTTGGACTTTAACTGCCTGAAAGATCATTTTTTTTCATATCAGCATAAAATATGCTTCATTTTACTCACCATGTTCAACCACACCTTCATGACTGGAAATTTGTATTGTTTATACAACCTAAAATAGTATATAGTCATACTGTCATGAATTCGAATCTGAAATGTATTTTAAAAATCAATTTCGAATGAACGTTAAAGATAAGTTGCAATAAGTGTCACCATTTAAAAGGTCTATGCTCCATTGTTATCATCAGAAAAGATAAATTTCAATAAGTGTTACCATTTAAGAGGTCCATGTTCCATTGTTATCATCAGAAGCGGTAAAAGAATGAAATGAAAAATCGTCAATAAGATGAGGCGCCCTACCTACACAGCAAAAAAAGGTCAGCTATAAAAATATATACTCTTTATTACAAATAATTGATAATAAAGTTCACAATATGGTTGTTTTTAATTTAATTTAATTTAAAATTAGAATAATTATTTTTAAAAATCCGTAAGATATTTACTTACTCTCAACACAGTTAATTTTTCTACTCCGTACCACATTTGGTTAAGGATGTTTTTCACAACTTCGTTGTCAGCAAATACTTTGTTTTTGGTTCGAATCCCATCCCTTAGGTAATTATGATTGAGAAGAAGTCTGCCAGAATGCTGAATGTCGGCATCTACTTCTTTCTTATCTTTTTCCTCGTTTTCAATTATTATAGTTTCCTCCTTTTGTAATTTGCTACGTTTTTGCTTATCACCGTCATAAATGCAACTGATGATTCGAAGTGCTTGATGTGTAAATTTTCTATTTTAAAAAAAAGAAGAAACCATTACTTAATAGGTATTTTTTCAAGCTGTCTAATCCATCAAA